AGGAGCTGGATCTGGTACTTGCTCCTCTGCTTTGGCTTGCTGGCTAGCGTGGCTTTCTTTTGCACCATGGCTGCCAGCTCCTTCTCACCTGTCTGGTCAAGAAGACCCTTTTCCTGTTCTGCCTGCCTGACTGCAATGGCTTTGTCGAGCCTTTCTTGGAAGTCCATCAGCACGTCTTCGTTCGTCAGGACGTGCTGGCTGGCTTCCTCATTCAAGGCCCAAGCACGGGTCTCAGACCAGACTGGCTGGAGAAAGTCTGGCCTACCCAGCACTTTGCCTGGGTCAGGCAGTCTCCTGCCTGTTGACTTGCTGACGAGGTGCACGAGACCCAAATGGCTGCCTGTCTGTCTGGCACTGTGTCCTCGCCCCGTGCTGGCGAGAAAGTTAGTGACTTTCTGTCTGTGATAGTCTTTTTGCAGGTTGAAGCAAAAAGACTTGCTCACACCATACTGCCTCATGACATGCTGCCTGGCTGCATTTTTGCTTTTGTGATTTACGGCTGCTCTGTCTAACTCTTCCATCATGGAAAGCTTGCCTCTGGCTGTCACATCACATCGCCTCTTGCGAAGATGCGGCACCGCTTTCGTCTTCTGCTTACTGCCTAGCGGTCTGCCTCCCCGTCTCTTTTTAAGAACTCCAAGAGCTGGCTCCAGTTCGAGCTTTTCCACTGCTTGGCTGGCTTTCTGCTGCAGGTTTTGCATGTTCTCAGCTTGCTGCTGTTTCTGTCTGTCACTAGCTGTGTCTGGCGAAAGGCCGGGCTTGGCCTCTGCCTCTGCTGCCTTGCCCCAAAGGTAGTCTAGCCTGTAGTAGACTGGACTGCCTTGGCCTAAGGTCTTTTTGAGCTGTTCTATCTTTCTCTTTTGCACAGGGTTGCTGTCTGGGCTCTGGCTGCCCGGGCTCTGGCTGCCTGGCCTCTGGCTGTCTCCACCCTTGCTGTCAGGACTGAACAGACGCTTCTTCGGCGAAGGTGTGTGAAAGCTGGCCTGCCTCTTGACTCCTCTAGCTGTCTGGCTGCTGTCTAGGCTGTCTTGGCTGCTCTGCCTGCAAACCACTGCCTGTGGTTCTTCCTTGCTCAAGTCAACTACCTCTACTGTCTTGGCTGTCTTCCTTCTTTTGGCTTCCCTCTCGTCGTCCTGATGTTTAGAGCAATTCGGTCAATTCATTCATCAGCACCCCTGCGCCTTGTCAAGCTCGGCCAAAGCATTCTCCAAAGCGGCTCGCAGCTTGGCCTGCACGTTTGGGAAAAAAAGAAACAATCAGAAGAAACATGCCAGCACCATCCAAACGAGGCTCTTCCAGTACTAAGCTTGTACTACAATTGAGCACCATCCAGCCAGCATCGGACAGGAGACACTTCTAGCACCACATCATCCCGACAGCATCCGAGACGAGGCTCTTCCAGTACTAAGCTTGTACTACAATTGAGCACCATCCAGCCAGCATCGGACAGGAGACACTTCTAGCACCGACATCATCCCGACAGCATCCGAGACGAGGCTCTTCCAGTACTAAGCTTGTACTACAATTGAGCACCATCCAGCCAGCATCGGACAGGAGACACTTCTAGCACCGACATCATCCCGACAGCATCCGAGACGAGGCTCTTCCAGTACTAAGCTTGTACTACAATTGAGCACCATCCAGCCAGCATCGGACAGGAGACACTTCTAGCACCGACATCATCCCGACAGCATCCGAGACGAGGCTCTTCCAGTACTAAGCTTGTACTACAATTGAGCACCATCCAGCCAGCATCGGACAGGAGACACTTCTAGCACCGACATCATCCCGACAGCATCCGAGACGAGGCTCTTCCAGTACTAAGCTTGTACTACAATTGAGCACCATCCAGCCAGCATCGGACAGGAGACACTTCTAGCACCGACATCATCCCGACAGCATCCGAGACGAGGCTCTTCCAGTACTAAGCTTGTACTACAATTGAGCACCATCCAGCCAGCATCGGACAGGAGACACTTCTAGCACCGACATCATCCCGACAGCATCCGAGACGAGGCTCTTCCAGTACTAAGCTTGTACTACAATTGAGCACCATCCAGCCAGCATCGGACAGGAGACACTTCTAGCACCGACATCATCCCGACAGCATCCGAGACGAGGCTCTTCCAGTACTAAGCTTGTACTACAATTGAGCACCATCCAGCCAGCATCGGACAGGAGACACTTCTAGCACCGACATCATCCCGACAGCATCCGAGACGAGGCTCTTCCAGTACTAAGCTTGTACTACAATTGAGCACCATCCAGCCAGCATCGGACAGGAGACACTTCTAGCACCGACATCATCCCGACAGCATCCGAGACGAGGCTCTTCCAGTACTAAGCTTGTACTACAATCCTCTGTTCTTTGCTATCAGTAATTACTGCATTCGGCCTTGCACCCGCGAATCGTGGTCGTGATACTCTCCTAGGGGTCAGAATTGCACTACCTCGACATGCTACAGGATAGCCGAGGGGGTAGTGCTACACTCTCGACGGATAGTGCCGAGGTTCGATTCCCTCGCCCGTCATTTTTGTGTCTGAAGGATTACTAACGCCCGTCTTAGAAAAGATCCCGCCTTGTCGTGGGCTTCCTCGCCGCCCATGGCGGCACTCAGCCGCCCATGGCGGCGAAGCGAAGAAGCACTCCCACGTCCTGTCTGCCTCCTCAGTGAGTGTGTGTGAGTGGTGTCTGTGTTTGAGTGCTCCGGTGGGTCTGTCTGAGTGTGAGTGTGGGTGTGAGTGTGAGTGTGAGTGTGTGTGTGTGTGTGTGTGTGTGTGTGTGTGTCGACAGCCTGTTGAAGCGAGGCACAAAGGCCTCTTCTTGAGGCTGCCTGTCTGTGGCGGAGCGGGCAGATTGTTGACAGCTTTCAGAAGCAAAGCACTTGCAGCGAATGCCAGAATCTTGGAACATCATTAATTAATCAGTTCCTATCATATTTAATTAATTATCATGTTATTTCCAAGCTTCTGGCATTCACCACATGTGCTCTTCTGCACTTGTGCAACCATGAAGCATTGCTATCATCAACAACAACATCATCATCATGTTCTTCATCATCATCATGTTCTTCTCCTGGACCATGATCATCGTCATCATTACCATCACCACCACTACCGCCATCTTCATCATAACAAGCATCACCGTAATCGTCATCATCATTTTCATCGTCATCATTTTCATCATTTAATTACTTGTAGAACCTGTGTTTCTAGGAATTGAGATAACAACAACCCCCTAATTATAAAAACATTTTCGAGTTTTTATTTAGGGCGAAGGGGGGGGGGGCCCCGACCCTTTAATATTAGGGGGAAGGGATTATATATGTATATATATGTGTGTGTATGTATATATATATATATATATATATACATATAAAATCTCTTGGTTGGCAGGCTTTGCTTGGTGGATTAGCTTGTAGGAGTTGAAGGGCTTGGGGCTCTAGGTGTCTGGATGTGTCTAGGGCCTTGCAGTTTTGCAAGGGCTTTGTCCGGGCTTGAAGCTTGAAGGTTCGAGGGCTTCAAAACTCAAACCTTAAAACTGTTGAACCCTGAATCCGTGAACCAGCGGCAGTACTTAGAACAGGGTTTCGGACCGGTGTTTACTGTACCATATTTATATGAAGGAACTGGCAGAAATTGTATCAGCAATTTTTGCAATGATTTGAACAAAAGGCTTAAAGCCCTGAAAGTGTCATTGGCCATCCGTGAGAGGTTCGGGCCAACCATGTGGACATTCCGGGGATGTCCGCAAATCGAACCCTAATAATTAATCAGCCTTCCAAAACCCTGAGCCCTGCACCGCAAATATACCCTAAACACCTACACTAAACTAAAAGCCTAACCATCAAGCCACCTGTTGAGCCCTAAACCTTACTTAGGATGGTTTAGGGTTTAGGGCTTATAGGGTTTAGGGGTTTAGGGTTTAAGTGTTTAGGGTTTAGGGAACCCTGAGCCGCAACCCACTGACCGATTCGAAGTCCCCCACGGCCAACAGCGCAAAGTGCAGATTCAGAAGCCCTAACAGCGCCGCTGACCATTCGCATGGGCGCTCGAGGCTCCGACCGAAGCCCCCGGCCGAGCGTCTCGACAGGGAGGGTAAAGCCTCTCGGCTACGCCTCACACAATACTAATGTCAGTGCGTGTTAGTGAGGACCCCAAACCCCCGCATTGTCGATGCTGCCCTGCTGCCGTGCTGCCGTACTGCCCTCTGCCCTGCCCTGCCTGGTATGCTGCCCTGCCCTCCCTTTCGTGCCCTACGTGCATGCGCGGCTGCTGTGCCCTCCTCTGCCCTCCTCTGCCCTCCCTGCCCTGCCTGCCCTGCCTGCCCTGCCTGCGTGCCCTGCGCCCTGCCCTGCTAATGGGAAACTTCGAGCAACCCTTATACAGGGTGCGAGGAGCTAAGTGTTTGTTGGAAACTCTTGTTTTTTCGTCGAGCGGCCGGCAAAGGCCGCGAGGACACCAATCCATCTCAGCTATTATTTACTGTGAAATGTGGTCGTTTATGCATCGACTTGCGAAGGGAAGCAGAAAGCAAGAAAGGGATCCTTTGAGGGGGGTTTGGGGGTGAACCCTACACCCTAATTGAGAATAGTTGGGGTGGTTAGGGCGGGACTACATGCTGACGCAAGCGCGCGATAAGTGGGTGCGCCCCTATAGTCCTAAAGTAGAAGGCGCACACACCGCCGCACATTGTATACACACCCTAAACCCTAAACCTCAACAAGAGCAACACATGAACGCTGTCTTGGACATGCCTACGAAAAAACAAGAGCCCCATGACCGACCTCTCCAAATCCTGGCTAGGCTATCAGACCTCAGATCCATACCCACAGGCCTTTCGGAACTCGCACAAAGCTCCTCCGAGCCTTGAGTAATGCCAGCACCCGTAGTTATCTGTACTTCCTACACCTGACCCGAAACCCTAAACACCTAAACTCGAAAACCCTAAATCCCAGGCCTAGAGCCCTAGGAAACGACTTCGGTGCAGCTTGAGCAGCCCTGGGATGACTCGAAACGTGAGCTGAAGATTCTGAGTCGAGTCCTGCATAGAGGTTCATGGGTAGTTATAAGGGCTCCTTTAAGGGTCCCTTCAAAGGGATCTATTGGGATTCTACAGGGGTATAGGGTTTAAAGTCTACTTGGAGGTTCATGGCTACTTATAAGTCGGGCTATAAGTAGGGTAACCATAACTGTAACTGTAACCCCATATTGGAGGACTTAAAAACCCACTTATAACTACCTATCAAACCTTCAAGTGTGCGGTGAGCAGCGGAGCTTTCATGCTTCCGCGCTTAGGGTTAACCTGATGCTACCATAATCTGTTGTCTTGTAGGCCATTACGGCTACCCGGCTACCCCCGAACAGAGAATATATGTGCTTGCAAACATGTATGTACATACATACATGTATGTTATAATATGTATTGGTTCCAGGAACTCCATCTTTCCTCCTGCCCTCGGTGCTAGCTTTTTATGCTCCTCAGGCAAGAGCCTCTTGGCAGAAGGCCGCAGTGGAGCTCGGAGTCAGGGTTCAAGGTGTCTGATTCAAGTCCTTGTCGCACCTCGGAGGTGCAACCTAAACAATAAACCCTGCCAGGACCCCCCAGCGGCCCTTGAATAGAGTCCTTGTAGCACATAAATCGTGGGTATTTGAGGTATATTAGAGGGTAGTTGGGGGTCTAGGTGGAACCCAGGCATCCCAAAACCCTAAATCCGAAACCCGAAGTGCAGGTCCTTCCACTCTTCTTCCTCTTCGGCGAAAAGCAAGTCCTGCCGGCGCTGAAATTCGCTGCCTACCTACCATCTAAGGACTCATACTCTAAGGCTTCTTGGGCATGCCTACAATCTCCACTGCAGTTCCTTGTTTGGCTTTGCGGCTTTGTACGATCGGATTCCAACTAAAAAGTGGAAAGACTGTGAATTGAAATAGGTGAACTACGAGTATTCTGTAAGGCATTTCGGCTATTTAGAACCTTGGGGTCATGGTTTGGGTCAGGGCCGGGGGTTCGTGACCGCCCATGAATCCTCCCAAACGGCCCAAAGTACCTAAACGGTAGAATGTAGGGGGTTTCCGTTTATGTTAGGAAGGCCCGTTTACGGACTTTACAAAGCCCTCCACTCACCGCGAGCTTACCTTGGGTTAGTAGGGAATGGAGGAATTGTACCTACTATTACTACGGTTGATGGTAGAAACCATGCATTACCCATAATAAGGAATATACCATAATTCCCATAGTTTAGGGTCCTTAAGGTAATGCATGATTTATAAGGAAAGCGAGAAACCGCCAAGTCCTTGTCATCCTCAAGGAAGCAAGCGCGCAGGACGGCGCCGTGCCCGAACCACTCACCTCCGAAGCATGACGACAGCTTGGAGGATTATGGGACTTAGTAGTTCCGAAAAGGGTACCTATACGGGTCTATAAGAAGGGGATGCTTAAAGGGATCTATAAGGGTTCTATAATGGAGGACCATGGGACTTAGTAAGTAAGGTTATAAGTACCTCACTTGGGGTAATAAGTATAGTTACCCTAATTATAGCCCTAGTTACTAAGTCCCATGACCCTCCAAGTAGTCACTGGCGAAAACTAAGCAGGGTACGCACTCACGAAACATCAGGTCAGCTCGCTTTTGGCCAAAACTCATCCAATGACCATCCCAGAGAGCCCAATATCCCTTAATTAACCAATAGGGTTTAGGGTTTAGGGAATATACCGTACATCATATGGGGGGTTTATATTATGACTTAAGCCATATATTCCTTAATTAAGAGGTGTTAAGGCCTCTCTGTGATCCCACCCTAACGGCATCCCAGCACCACTAAGCCCGAGCCCTCCAGCGAAGGCCGAGTCCTTCACAGCATCCCTCCGACACAAAACTCCGCCGCAATCGCAATCGGAACTGGGTTGTCCTTTGAACCCTTTGAAAATTATTTATGAGTATAGGTTCCCTTTATAAGGAAATAAGGGAAATTAACAAATATCCCAAAGCACAACCCAGGGAAGGGCCCTGAAGCGGAACCTCAAAAGACTGAGTTCATGCCGCATTTATAGGGTCTTTAGCGCACTCTGAGTCCAAAACCCTGTGCTCTGTACGATGGGCCTCGGCCTTGGTAACGCAAGCAGATCCAGCCTAAGCCAAGCGAAAGTGCGAAGGGCAGGGTATAGCCGACATTTGAAGTGTGCCACAGTAAGCTACGGTTTGGGGCTTAGGGACTTACGTGCTTTGGGCTCAGAGGGGTTTCGAAGTACCTGTAGTCTCCGTTGTGATCCTTTTGGGTAACTATTTTACAGCTAGAACTAGAATCCTAGAAATTAAAAATTGGTTGAGAAAGGAATCACGATGCCTTGCCACAGTCTCTGGCCGGGTTTCCAGGACATAGCGATTATGATTTAGGGCTACCATCTTGGGGGACTTGTATGACGAAATCATAATAGGGAACCTTAAAAAGGAAGTTTGTATAGGGTCCAAGTAGGGTTTAGGGGTATAGGTTTTTGTTTTAGCGCCGTTCTCCAGCTAGAAGCTAGGACGCGTCGTCTTTGGGGTTCCAGGCACCTACGTATCGAGCGACGTCGTGCGCCATCTATCACATGGGTGGTTGTCAAAATTAGGGTCCCTTTTTGGGTCCTTACTATGATCTAATATTTGGGGTACCCACAAAACGAACCTTAATCTTGACAACCACCCACATGGAGCCTCACGACAGCACCGAAACCCTCCATTTGTGGCCATACTAAAATGACAAAGGAACTTGGTAAAGACGCCAAAACTTTTCCTGGGGGTTGCTCGTGCCTACTAGAGAAAACTACCTCAAGCTCTTATTCAATTAAGGCCCCGGCAATTGCGAATGCCGAGTTGCTGGATTCTGGTTAAGATGTTTAACTTAAGTTACCATTATAGGAATCTTTGGTAAATAAGATGGTTTCCTGAATATGGTAACTTAAGCTGACTGGGCTCTTAAGTAACCAGGGAGAAAAAGTATAAACTTGTATTTCATAATGGTTCCTTCCAGAGCAATATTAAAGTATGGTACTCCAAAGCCCAGACTGAGTCCTTTAATTTGAGCTACCATAATAGAGATCTATAGTAAATTCTATGGTTTTTGCTATGGCAACTCAACTTAAATTCCTTAACCCCTCAACATGTATAGAACCCTTAGAAGAAACCCTACATTGTGGTAACTTAACTAAATTCGTTAACCCCTGAAACACGTATGGAACCCTTAAAACAAAGAACCCTAAATTGTGGTAACTTAAACTAAATTCCTTAACAAGAGACTCCAATATCCCTTAATTAAGGAATATACCTTAAATCGCAGTAGGATCCCTAATCTGATTTAAGGAATATTCCTTAATTAAGGGGCATTGGAGTCTCTGGGAATGGGAGGAATCGGGTACAATTATAACTACTATTACTACCATTCTTCCATTCCATTCCCTGCTAACCAAAGGAAACAAACCTAAACCCTATAGATCCCTTATAGGAACCCTTAGAGGATCCCTTATAGATCCCTTTAAAGGAACCCTAGGAGTCTCTGGGTAACTTGAGCCCAAGTTGCTGGATGCCCACTCGCCGTGAAGCATGGCAGAGCGGAACCTGGAGTCCCCACTGCTCTGGGGCGCTTGTGGCACCCTACGGTACTATAGGGTTCAACAAACGGGCTCCCAAAAGGGATCCTTAACCCTTTAAAGGGATTGTAGTTCCTTTTTTTGGTTAACCAGTTTTATGGTTAGGATCCTATTATAGAGATTCTGGTTAACCAAAAAAAGGAACTACAATGGAGACTGTAGGTAGCCCTCAACCCAAAACCGGACCTTTTCATGTCACCCAAATAGAATACAAAACAGATCAATAGATAACTCTCTCTCTCTCTCTCTCTCTCTCTCTCTCTCTCTCTCTCTCCAGTATATATATATATATATATACATACATACATACATACATACATCTTATATATATATGTATACATATGTTCATACACGCGTACATACACACATCCATACTTAAGCCTTCAAGAGGTTCCTGTACTAGATACCTTGGGGTCGTGTCCTGAACCTCATACGCACGCCCTCTACAGCAACCCTACGCGGCCTACAGTGAACCACAAAAAGACAATCTGCGGGACCGCAGAAAAGCATCTAAAGCACGAAGCTTAAGGCCCTGACATCTGAAGTATGCCCATTAAATAAGGATATCCCGATTGTGCGGGTGTTATTAACATGTCAGTTCCCAAAATCTTAACCCTAAAAGCCCTGGGCCACAATGTAAAACACAAACTCGAGACCTTAAACTACCCTCGGCGCTAAGACCCTCAAGCCTGAACCCGAAACACAACCCTAAACTAGGTGTCCCAATAGCCCCTTAATAATTCCCTGTCCCAGTATTCATTCGGTTTTTATGAGGAACCCTAAAACAAGCAAGCAAGAAGCATACGGGGAACCTATAATAATACTACTGTAATTATTATTAGTATTCTCGTTATCGTTGTTATTACTATTGGTGCCATTTCTATCGATACTGTCAATCATCATTGTTCTTATTACAAACCGTCGCCGGGCAGCTTGATCTTGTGGGCGAAGAGGAGGCTCGCCTTGACCTGAAACTTCCCCAGCAGCTCGCCGTCGCCTCGGCGGGTGGTCTTTCGGGAGGATTGGCAAGGGGCTTAACCCCAAACCCAAAGCTCTAATTAGGGTTTAGGGTCTGGGGCTGAGGGTGTGGGGTTTACGAGGGTTTAGGGTTGCAGCGGGTTCGGGGGGTTAAATCCTAAAAGAGGGTTTGAGGCTCCTTGGGTTTAGGGTTTTGGGTGATAAACCCAGAATCCTAATTTCCAAGCCCTACACAGCTTAGGGTTTTGTGGATTAAACCCTACTAAACCCTGAACCATGCAGGGTGGGGGCTTTGGGACGGAGAGAGTTCACAGTGCAAAGCAGAAAACTTCTGGCGGTTGGCATCGGAAAGATCTAGAAACCACAATTTGACTAATTAGGCTGTGAAACCACCGGGAACATGTGAATTTGCGTCTGACGGAAATTAAAGCAGAGCATAAGCATGGTCTGGACACACAAGACCTCACGAGTCAACTCCAGAAAAAAATCAACTACCAAAAACGGCCCAAACCCCTAATGTAGGGGCCTTCATAATTCGAACAGGCTTTGGGGATATACTATACTCTAGATATAACCCCCCCCCCCCCCCAACACCCTACTCCAATCACTAAGGCCCCTACATGAAACCCGAAACGAGAAACTCCGAAACCCCGAGCCTCCGAGAGCCCTTAACCCCCCTCCCAACCTGCGGCCCCATGGAAAGGATCATGGGACTTAGTAACCTAGGGTTATACTACTTTAAAGGGCTCCTTTAAAGGGGATCTATAGGGGTTCTATTATAAGAGGGGATTTAGAGGGTCTACTTAAAGGATCATGGGACTTAGTAACTAGGGTTATAATTAGGGTAAGTATACTTATAATCCAAATTAAGGTACTTATTACCTTACCTACTACATAGATCTTCCAAGCACGCACTTAAGAGCCTACTGGCGGCTACTAGGTGTCGGTTTCAACAGATCCCCAAATTATTGTAGTTGTGGCTCTGTATTTCAACAATAAGGGACATTACACATTATCCCGAATCCACACCTGGGTTATGTCTCCAGAATGAGTGCAAGTACAGCAGGGTTTTTCGATCGACAGGAAGAACCAAGGACTCCTTGAAGCCTCCTTCAAGCCCCCTTCGAAGACCCTTGAAGGGAGGCTTACGAGGGGGCTTAAACCTCCCTTAAGGGGGGCTTAAGAGGGGCTTGAAGGGGGGCTTAAGCCCCCGGCTGCAATGCTCCCATTCAACCAAGGTGTCGGCGAGATGTCGACCAAGACCTGCAGCATTCACGGCGCGACGAGCTTGAAGACGTTGGGGTGTCGGTTGTTGGAGATTTGGGGGTTCAGGGCTGAGAAGTTTGTACATTGTTACATTATAGTATGGTAAATATGGTGCTATAGCGTACTGTAATATACGTGTCTTCTCGTTGTATATGTCTGGGCTTGAACTTCCTTGTCGATTTGAGGGCCTTTGATCGCCTTACTACCCCAATCAGCCACAGAATTGAAAGGTTAAACTTTCCGATTCCTACTAAACTGCAAGAACCCCAAAAGTTTAAAGGTTGGGTATTGGGGATCTAAATCGCCCAGAAGCCTCAAAAAGATTGTGAGGTCGTGGAGTTTCGGACTGTGTGGTTGATTCAAGGTCTACTTAAAGGATCATGAGACTTAGTAACCTTAGATATACTTTAAAAGGGCTCCTTTAAAGGGGATCCTCCAGGTAGGGTTTGGGGTCGCGGCTTTTGAGAATATGGGCTTCCAGGGATTCGCAAGGATTTCGGGAGTTGGGGTGTTGGGTTTAGGATTTAGGGCCCAAGGCTTTTAGGGTTTAGGGATTTCGGGAGTTGGGGTGTGGGGAGGAATTTAAGGTCGAAGTGCTCGTGGGCTTGTGGTTTGAGGTTGTTGTTTCGGAGTCTGAGGCTTTGGGAAGTCTCTCCGGGCTTTAAGCGAGCCACTTCTAGTCCCAGCCTATCGTTGCTGAGGAAGGACTGCTCAGTCACCATAATTTGACCAAAATTTCTTCTTCAGGTTCAGCGGGACTTTGATCATTGGAATTCTGAGCTGAATTTAAAGAGGTTAGGCCATAGGGCCATAGGGCTTACAAAGGAAGCAAACACATGGGTAGTTGTCAAAAGGGTCCCTAATTGGGTACCGTAAATATTATGTGCCGTATTATAATAGGGATCCAAAAAGGGACCATAATTTTGACAACCACCCACATGAGCCCAATCAGGAGCACTCTTGCAAGGCCTCACAACTGTCTTGGCATGACCGATTTTCGGTCCAGCGCTAAAGGCCTTTGCCTACTTAAAGGATCAAAGGACTTAGTAACTAGGGTTATAGTTGGGGTACCTATACTTGTAACCCCAATTAGGGTACTTATAACCCTACTTACTAAGTCCCATTGGTCCTCCAAGTAGATGGGGCACAAGCAGCTTTTATGCCAGTTCTTGTGCTTCGAGAACAGGCATTTTTTCAGTAGTGAAACAACGAGTGGAGTTGAGCTGGACACTCCAGCGGCCGTTTGCAAGACGGTGTGTACGGAGCACTCCGGGATCCAATGCTAGTCCCACAGCCCCGACCGTGAAGCCAACCCTAAACCCCAAATGGCCCAAACCTCTGACCCTGAAGCTAACCCGAAACCCAAAATGGCCCAAAACCTCTGACCATGAAGCTAACCCGAAACCCTATACTTAGAGGATCATGGGACTTAGTAACTAGGGTTATAATTAGGGTAACTAGACGTATAACCCCAATTAGGGTACTTATAACCTTACCGAATAAGTCGGGCGGCCTGTTTTTTAACCCCCCAACCTGTTTTTTGGACCCCCCCCACGTGTTTGTTGACCTGATTCGTTCAACGGAAGGAACGTGACCTTGTATCGCGCATCCACGCGCATCACCTTAAGGCCCTGCTGCGTCACCGGGTAGCCCTCGTGACGTCTACCAGACTTGTAGCACATGGCCTCTCCATCTGAGAAGACCTCGATGCCCCAATGAAGCAACAGCTGCTGGTGGAAGACCACATACTTCCCTAGGAGCCACGATGTGTTTGCTGTGATTGGATCCGAAATCAAGGACCGCCTTAGCTGCTTCATGCATTGCCGCGGACTACGCTGGGCGAGCTCTACGAAACGTCCACACACCAGATAGTAATGGGTCGCAGAGCACTTCAAAGGCCGAAGAAAGTGATTCCCGTCTTTGAGCGCCCAAAATGGCCCGCTCCGTTCATACGGGAATTGGAAGCCCAGGCTGCGCAACGTGTCGATCAAGCAAGTATCCACGAAGCGTGCGCGTGCTCTTGGTTTGGCCACCGACCTCACAAGCTAGCTTCCCAGAGCAGGAACATTTTGCTGGTATGCCGCGCACCACGACTGTAGCCGGTTGCTGCCCAGCAACAATTTCTGAAGATCAAGGCTTCGTCTTCTGCTCAACCCCCAATGTTGACTCTTGCCTGAGCTGGACGAAAAGGCCGAGTGAGTCCTGTGTTGCCACCTGGACACAGCACGACCTATTTAAAGCAGTCAGCCAAGGCACACCACTCCGTATCAAGATACAGTCCATGCTGAAGCTCCGCTTGCACATCAGCCATGGCCTCCGCCAGTACAGCAACGTCGGCAGCTTCCTGCTCCGAAGGTAGGCTCGCCTGCCTGCAGAGCTGATTGTAAGTTGCCGCCGAAGACAAAACTTGCCGAAGCAGAGGGGGAAAGCAAGGTCAAAAACCTGTTGCCGTCTAGCGGCGACTTCCGAAAGGCAGCGGTCTGCCTTCGACTGAGTCCCCAGCGCCGAGTTCTGGCTGAAACACACACGCACACATATTTTCGGCTAAGCACTGAACATTGTGTCGCTGTTCACAAGTCCTGATGACGGGGCACACCAGTCGGAGTGAAGATAGAGTCCTGGCCGATGTTCCTGCGGTTCAAGTGCTGCGTCCTTCTGCGTGCCCTTGTCCTTGTCGATAAGGATCAACTGAAAGAGCCCACATGTGCATTCTTTCTGCCAGGCTGCTTCCAAAGTCTGGTGCTTGCTGTCCCGTTGAAGATAGGCCTTCTCTCAGGGGCAATGCACACCCAGGTCCAGAAAACGCACAAGATCTGTCGCGCATGACATGCTTTCGACCTTGTTGACTGTGATGTAGCCAACCTAGATTGAGAAGCACCGCTATCCGAATTCCGGACATTCCGAATCGATCTCTCTTCGATTCTTGCACGCTCAGGCTCCTACAGGCGTCTTCATTGTGATTGCACCGTGTGCGTCCAGGTAGGCCTTGGCATCCTCCTGTGTACAGTCAGTAACTGTTCCCGAAAACTGCATTCTTACTCCTCCTTACCGTAATCTGCCCAAGGCTTGTTGCCGGACTGCACGCGAAGATTCGTCATCTGGCATATACTGAACATGCGCGCTGCGCATGCGCACGCGCTCATGCGCGACTTCATCTTCGGCCAGCTTGCAGCCAAGAGGCTACTGAGACTGGGATTTCACTTTGGATCGCACTCAGCACTATTGAGCAAGACTTCAAGACTTGGGGAGGTATAATATACCATATACAATGTATATATACATTGCACATACTGTAGATATACGTACAGGACATATATATATATATATATATATATATGTGTGTGTGTATTTACATATATCTATATATATATATATGTGTGTGTGTGTGTGCATTTACATATATATATATATATACACATATATATATATATATATATATATATCGTATAGCATATGTAGTATGTAAGATGATTTTGTCGATGCATATTTCCCTCCCTCTCTCTCTATATATGTATATATATATATGTACAAACATAACATATATTACGTCTGTATATACCCGTATTTAAATGTGCGTATATATGTAAACGCAGTTGTTTTGTACACATATATTATATTCTAATCTTTATGTGTTGCGGCTTATCTGTTAGATTCTGTTAGACCCAAAATTCTGTTTCTGTCCATATATACATTTATTTCCATTATCTGTTTATATATTGTATATATGTGTATATATGTATGGGGTCGGTGTACATGCAGGACGGCAGCAAGGCTTATACGTGATGGGACCGTGCGACAACCTTTCAAATCACCGCAGCAACTACAACACGCTTGAAGGCATGAAAAAACGTCTAAAAAATCGGGTGCGGCATGGTGACGTAGAGGCATACCCGTGATGGGAGGTGGTTTTTTTGGAATGACACTTGAGCTTGTCAAGCGGGATTTTCGTGCATCTGAAGACAACAATCCGTGCAGAACCAAGGCTCTTTCACGATTAGAAACAGCACAAACGAGCCCAAAATAGGTCTATTTTCTGTGTTTTTTTGCTACTGCCGGCCTAGGGATTTTTTCTCAACGTTGCGCGTCGCATGCTGCTAGAGGCGAAAAATCGGCATAAACATACTTTCAAGAAATCGACCAGTTTTGCCGTGGCTTTACAAAACCTAGGTTCTCGCTCTGGAGGCAGGATTCCGGAAACCCATAAAAACCACAAAGCCCCTGAAACACGATGTTGATGTCCAAATCTGCCAAAACACCAGAGAACCTGCGAAACTCGATTTCAAACTTTTTGGTTTTTCCCAAGGTGTTGAGTGGATTTTCCTCCCGGCTGCGTGCCGGTCTGCACCAGTTACAAGGCCGCCTGGGGCTCCTGCCCCGGCTTGCTTAAAGGCGCAAGTCGAAAGCGAAAAAATTGCCACAAACCTACTTTCAAAAATTCGACCAGTTTCGACGTGGCTATGCAAAACCTAGGTTTTCGCGCTGGAAGCAGGGTTCCGGAAACCCGTAAAAACCGCAAAAGCCTCTGAAACACGATGTTCATGTCCAAATCTGCCAAAACACCAGAGGACCTGCGAAACTCGATTTTAAATTTATCCCAAGGCATCGAGTGGTGTTGCCTCCCGGCTGCGTGCCGGTCTGCACTAGTTACAAGGCCGCCTGGGGCTCCTGCCCCGGCTTGCTCAAAGGCGCAAGTCGAAAGCGAAAAAATTGCCACAAACCTACTTTCAAAAATTCGACCAGTTTTGCCGTGGCTATGCAAAACCTAGGTTTTCGCGCTGGAAGCAGGATTCCGGAAACCCATAAAAACCACGAAAGCCCCTGAAACACGATGTTGATGTCCAAATCTGCCAAAACACCAGAGGACCTGCGAAACTCGATTTCAAACTTTTTGGTTTTCCCCAAGAAATTGAATGGTTTTGCCTTTCGGCTGCGTGCCGGTCTGCACTAGTTTCAGAGCCGCCTGGGGCTCTTGCCTCTGCTTGCTTAAAGGCGAAAGTCGAAAGCGAAAAGTTGCCATAGGCGTACTTTCAAAAATTCGACCAGTTGTGCCGTGGCTATAGGTTTTCGCTCTGGAAGCATAAAAACCACAAAAAGCCCCTTCGAGCCTCCCGTCGGGAATTTACTAATTTAATAAATTCTATATGCGACCAAATGAAATCTTAATTTTTTCTAATTATTGCATTCACCTCCCGGAGCTCCACTATATAAATAGTAATTCAGTATTAGTTAATTCTGTATTAGACGCCGAGTCTCAAAGAACTGAAAAGATTAGATTACCCTGCTTCGGGTCGCATTGTCCTTCCGTCTTAGGGGGGGGGTCAAGCGAGCATGGTGAGAGGGGTCAAAAAGAACAGGAGTTGAGTCAAAAACCACAGGTTCCGGGGTGAAAAAGGCATGCCGCTGGGGTGGGTGGAGCAGAATGGGGGTCAAGAAAAGGGTTTCCGATCAAGATCTGGACGGTTGGAAAGCAGATTCTTGTGGATAGGGCGTGGGGCTTGGGGGCTTGGGGTCAACACGACAAGCCCAGGGGGGTCAAAAAAAGGGGGCAGGGGTGAGAAAAGCAGGCTGGGGACAGAACAACGGCTCAAGGGGGTCAAAAAAACGGAGGGGGGTCCAAACAACAAGCTGGTGGGGCAACAAAAATGAGGGGCCCTAATAAGTCCCATGATCCTCCAAGTACTCAAAACGGCCCGAAAGCCCGTGAGCATGAAGCTTGAACCCTAGGGCAGGTGCTGGCCTTCATCCACCGCAGATGCAACGGCCTCCGTCTCGATGAGGCCTTGAGCAAACTGTCTACTAGGAGGTTCATGGGTAGTTATAAGGGCTCCTTGAAAGGTCCCTTTATAAAGGGATCTATAGGGATTCTATAGGGGTATAGGCTTTAGGGCCTACTTGGAGGTTCATGGGTGGTTAGAAGTGGGGTTATAAGTAGGGTCACCATAATTATACCCCATATTCGGGGGCTTATAACCCCAGTTACAACTACCCATGAACCTTCAAGTAGGGTTCAAGTTCAGGCAAGGTTTCAGAGTGGCGGAAGATGTGCTTAAACCCGGCCTTACCCCTGACATGATCCGTTGATTCTTATCGGTCTGCATCTCTTCCTTAACCTACCAAAACCTACTTTTTTGTAGGGTCCCTATAAATTCCATATTAGGGTTTATAATAAGAACCTACAAAAACGTAGGGTTTGGTAGTTTAAGGTTAAGAATCGCTACAGGTCTGAATCTCAGAACTCAGACCCGCAACTTTGAAGTGTAAAGCCCTGGAGCACTGGAACCCAGAGAGCCCAATACCCCGTAATTAAGGAATATGGCCTAAATCATAATATGAAGCCCCCTATAATTTAAGGTATATTGCTTAATTAAGGGATATTGGGCTCTCCGGGAACTCGCAAGCTCGACGAAAGGGCGCCTTTCCACTTGTCGGCGTACTCAGTCGATGAGCTTGCATCGACCTTGCCCGGTTTTTGGTTTGGGGGTTTACTGGGCTTTTAAGTAACCAGGGCAAAAAAAGTATAAACTCTTATTTCATAAGGGTGCCTTTAAGAAAAAAGTATAGCATGATACTCCAAAGCCCAGTTTAGGGACTGGGACATGGAGTTTCACGGTTCTGCGTGCGGGCTGTTTGGGAGAAGGAACGTCGTTCCCTGAAGCTCATTTACATACGCTACATGCCTCACACACGGTCCCAGGATCAGCCGCTTTCAAGTATTTGGCATCTCTCCGAATCCATGCACTGCTCCTTGAGGGACCTTGTCGATTTTTGTAGATGACAGCCAAAGCTACGGAGCAGCTGCAATCTTGGAATTTAGGATGTTGAAGATACTCCTGGTTCCACCTCCCCCAGTTCCAACACATCCGTCTAGAGCTTGAAAAGTGCAGCATGGGAGTTCTCGAAAATAGGGGACCCTAATATAGTACCCTAAAAAGTAGGATCCGTATTACAAGGACCCCAAAATAAGGTACCCCCAGAACTCCCATGTTAAGTACCCTCCAAGTCTTCTTGAGCTTTACATCTACTCGGAAGGGAACAACCTCCGCTAAGACGACGCATACACTCGAAAGCCTCAACCCCAAACCTGTCAATGCCGCCAGGGTGGCGGTGGATCCCTTCATGCGCTTGACGGCGTCCAAAGCTTCCTTGCAGGTAGCAGCAACGCCGGTTTCTTCTCAGCAAGTTCCGTCTGCATCTTAAAGGCTTCGGCTCAGGCTTAAAGCCCCTAAGCCCTAAACCCCAAATCCTAAAACTTCCCTGGATCTAAACCTAAACCCTATGTTATAAGCTCGACACCCTAAGTCCTGAGACTTCCCGTAAAGAAACACCCCAGCGCTCCCCTAGAGAAACACCGAAAAACCGAAAAAAAAAAACGGCTCACGACCCTCCCGCAACGGCAAAGACAACAGACAAAAAGTTTCCCTAAACCCTAAACCCTAAACCCTAAACCAAAAAGTTGGGGTTAGAAGGGGCCCTACTGGGTGGGGGCAGCTTCTCAAGTAGGGGCCTTGATGCTTGGAAGAGGGATTTGGAGTCTATAGCATCCCCATTGACCAGGACATGATTCAGGCTTCTATAATGGATCCTGATACTACCCATCATCGCATCTCTTAATCCACGCCTTCTACCCACTGTACTAACCCATATTGTAAGCAACCGTTTAAAGGAACCCTTGACGTACCTTATTTTATGTTCAGGCCTCTCCATCCACAACAATACTGTAGGGGCCTTACTAATAAGAATGGGGTTTTGGGGCCCCTTTATAATAAACTTACAATAAGGGACCCTATACGGAATACTATTGGTAATTATGTCGGATTCTACATTACCCCTTTTTTGCATTAAGGCCCTATACCCTATAAACCCTAAACCTATACTGAACTTAGAACCCTAGCAAAAATTAGAATTTTAGCTGTTTCTTACGGATTATAATAACCAAAAAAATTTAAAAAATATTTCTAGGTGCCCCTAAGACAGTCCTTAAATCCCATAAACTGCATTAAGGCCCTATACCTGAACCCTAAACCCTAAACCGTTATATACCCTATAAACCCCCCATTCACAACATTCCGTTCCCTGCCCCCACCCTCTAATAGGTTTCTATAAGGATTATTATATTAGGGCCCTACTATAACCAAAACCCTATAAACCCTAAACCCCACAATAAGGGACCCTATACGGAATACTATTGGTAATTATGTCGGATTTTACATTACCCCTTTTTGCATTAAGGCCCTATACCCTATAAACCCTAAACCTATACTGAACTTAGAACCCTAGCAAAAATTAGAATTTTAGCTGTTTCTTACGGGTTATAATAACCAAAAAAATTTAAAAAATATTTCTAGGTGCCCCTAAGACAGTCCTTAAATCCCATAAACTGCATTAAGGCCCTATACCTGAACCCTAAACCCTAAACCGTTATATACCCTATAAACCCCCCATTCACAACATTCCGTTCCCTGCCCCCACCCTCTAATAGGTTTCTATAAGGATTATTATATTAGGGCCCTACTATAACCTATACCCTATAAACCCTAAACCCCACAATAAGGGACCCTATACGGAATACTATTGGTAATTATGTCGGATTCTACATTACCCCTTTTTGCATTATTAAGGCCCTATACCCTATAAACCCTAAACCCCAATTCACAAGATTCCGTTCCCAAGTCGCCGGGCAGAGCGCTGCGAAGGAGCCTTCAGGCTCTGGCCGCCTCTGCCGTAGGGTCCCGGAGTCGCGGAGTCGGGTTTTAGGGTTGAGGGTTTAGGGTTTAGGGTTTAGGGGTTAAGGGTTTAGGGTTTAGAGTTTAGAGGTTTAGGGTTTAGGGGTTTAGAGGTTTAGTGTTTAGGGTTTGTGTTTTTTTTTTTTTTTTTTGGGGGGGGGGGGTTTGGGTTTAGGTTTTGGGTTTAAGGTTAAGGGTTTAGGGTTTAGAGGTTCAGGGTTTAGGGTCTAGAGGTTTGGGGTTTAGTGTTTCGGGTTTAGAGAGTCCGCCACAAAGGATCCTAACTACAGGAATTGGTAAACTTCCTAAGAATGGCTAACCTGAAAGAGGAAAAACAATGGAGACTGGGTTTATGAATATTCGGATGATCTTGGTAGCCTTGCCTAGACGGCCAATATCGAGACCTTAATAACTATAATAGGGCTTTGCGTACATGATACTGTAACTTTCATCGGGGACCCTGGGAAAAAATGCATCACTGTTGTTGGCCTATGTTAAACTCAGAACCATGCGCCCGCAATGCGGCTTGTTGCGTTGAGGGGGCCCTGCCTATGCGCCAGGCAGATGCAGAAAGGCTTGGCAACCTGAGCTTGGGTTTACCTTAACCACCGATAACCTATGTCGTTAAGGACATATATAAAGAAGTCCTGCTATGGGGAGAGGTTTAGGATGACCTCAGACCCTGAATCCCAAGCTCAGCCTTCAAGTAGCATCTCTAGACCACAAATCCTAGACCAACAACCCTGGCGACTAAGTAGTTCGGGTGATATAGGGGCCTCAGTCATTCGGAAAGGATTTCGGCGTATGTTAAAGAAAACTGAAATGAAAGATGTTCGAGGGTAGGTAACTTATCAAGTCCCCATGACCTTAAGCTGCATAACCCTTAAACCTTCAACGCCAAGCCCCAACCCCTCAACCCTCAAGTAGCCTTCAAAGGGGAGGCAACCATGTGCTGGGTGCTTCCCAACGGTTGATATACCGGCCTCAGAAAAAGGTTTTGGGGGATACTACTATCACACTGTATTTTCACCATAAGGAACCCCAAGGCAGAAAAAATACGAAGAATCTAGCCTTCGATTCCAAATTGATTCAAAGCTTTGTGGACGCGTGGGTGGCCGATTTGAAGTAACGAAGCTTGAAGGGTTTATGGGGTTAGGGTTAATAGGAGTTCAGAGTATGTAGAGTTTAGCGATTTCGGGGGTTAGAGATTTTGTGTGCTTAGGTTTCAGGGGTTGAGGGTGAGGGCTGTGCCAAATGGCTCAGGTTTGAAATTACAACTGACATCTTAGGGTTTAGGATTTAGGGCTTTAGGGTTGGGCTGTGGCGTGGCAAGGACTTGATTTGGTCGAACCTATCGTTTGTCAAGCCGCCTCTTTGGGCTGCGGGGCCTATCGAATCAACAAGTACGGACCGCTTTGAGTTTGCAAACGTGATGCAGATGAATTCTTCGTCGTGCAGAAGATGCAAACGTGGTATAGTGAAACATCCCTGCAGTGTGACTACACGCAACCAACCATTATGTATCACCATCGCCGTGATTTCTTGCAAACGCGACACCTGAAGAACCGACAGCACCAATCCCACAACGGGGCGCTTAACACTCAGGCATTCGCCTTCCTGATAGAATCTCTACTATGGATACCCCAGCCCTAGCCCCTTTGCAGAAGTCCCCTTGCTAAGCCCTGACTGTCTTGTGACGGAACCCTGAAACCCTATTAAACATGCTTCAAACTCCGAGTCTAAATCACCCTAAGGCCCAGGAAACCCTTTGATGTAAAGAACCGCGAAGCCAACGCCCGAAGAACCCATAATTATTCAAAAAGAACCAGGACCCTCCTTGTACCCTCAAATAGGGCTATATGGTCCCAAATAAGGGCCATTTAGGGTCTAATAGAAGGTAGATGGAGGTTCTAGGAAGACACCAACATAAATTTGGGAATGCAACAAAAAAACAGACGAGACAAACCATAAACCAATCGTCAGATTCGGGTCGCGTGGAGAAAGCCGGGACGTTGCGGAAGGAAGCTCAGTGGAACGCGGTCGCCTTTGTCAGAATTGAAGACTTGAAGCAATCACGAAGATTTGAAATGGCTTTATAAGTTCGTTGTAAAAAGTTTAGGTTACAAGAAGCCAGCTTCTCAATGAACCTTAAACCCTAAACTTACGCCCCTTCAACATGAACGGTCCGCGTCAGGCTCCAGTCATCAGAATAGTAAGTAAGCTAGTAACCATATGTCATGTAACAGGGCTTAGGGTTGTTGAGGGTGTCGCCCAAAACTCATGTCGCGTCAAAAGGCCCGCTGTGGCAGATTATCCTCTAACCCAACCGAAGTGTGTCTGCGTGCTTGCGGCCGCTGAATAAAACATGAGCCGCATATGCATATAGGTGTGCAAAGCATAAACACACACAGGCACAAGTACATGTACTGAATATGTTAATACCACGTATACACATACATATGTTCAAATTATACACAGACATACATACATACATAATCATACATACATACATACATACATACATACATACATACATACATACATTACATACAGACATACATGCACACATACACGCATACATGCATCCTCAACCTACGCGGGGCCTGAAATGCGTTGATTTCGAAGGTGGACAGCTTTCAAGGTGGCTTGCATCAGCACGAACGTCGGCACTGGAGCCTGTACCTTAGGCTGTATGCCTGAATCTTACATGTTGTGCTTTCACTGCATCTTATCACCCCCGCTGCTGTCGCTGCTACTGGTGCTGGCCCCACTCGCGCATGCGGATGTATTTTGGCTCTCTCTCGCCTCCTGTCCTGCTGCTTCAGCTTCTCGTCGACGGTGGGCTCGGTGGCGGAACCCCCTTTTGCTGCTCAAAGACCCTCTTCAAATGATGATCTTTCCGAGGATCAGGGGCACCTGAGAGCAACTCTGCAGCTTCGAAGCAAGCCGCCTCTGCCAAGGCAAGGGGGCCCATCTGTCGTGTCCACTTAAAGGATCCTGGGACTTAGTAACTAGGGTTCCTTAAAGGGCGGGGATCTTTGCGGTTCTATTATAAGAGGGGGCTTATGGGGTATGCTTAAAGGATCATGGGACTTTGTAACTGGGGTTATAATTAGGGCAACTAGACTTACAACCCCAATTAAGGTACTTAGAACCTTGCTTACCAAGTCCCATGATCCTCCAAGTATCTACACGCCGCCAGGGAACGCTTATCGTAACCCTCATAGAACCTTTATAGCAAACCTCATAGGCTAGACCCTTAAACCAGCAACCCCTAAACCCCTGAACCCCTAAACCTTACTACCCCAATCAGCCACAGAATTGAAAGGTTAAACTTTCCGATGCCTACTAAACTACAAGAACCCAACAAATTTAAAGGTTGGGTATTGGGGATCTAAGAAACTGCTTCTGGGAACCCTGAAGTCTTATGGAGACCTAACTAACCCTCATAATAACCCTCATAGGATCCCTAAACCCGCAAACCCTTACATCAGTGCTCGAATCGAACAGAGCCAATTAAGGGAGTAACTCGATTAGTAATTAGTATGAGTGGTATTGGTATTAGTGAGTTGTCCTTTAAGCCCTTTGAAAATTAATTACTACTATGGTTCTCTGATCCCTAAGATCTTAAAAAGCCCTACCTTAACCCTGAAGAACCTACCTTTCTAGGGTTCCCTATTATGATTTCCTTATATAAGTCCCTAAAAAGGTAGGTTCTTTCGGGTCAAGGTAGACCCTGAGCCGACCTTGTGAGGCAAAGACCTCCAAGGATGCGATGCCGGTACGAAACCTTAGGGGCAGAGGCTTCAGGGAGAGACCCTTATAGGGTTCTTAGGGTTCCTGTAAAGGGATCTTTAGGGTTCCTTTATATAAGGGGTCCTTAGGGGTTTAGGGTTTAGGGCGGAGGCTTCAGTCAAAGGGTCCCACAAAATGGGGACCCCTACCCTATAATGGGCTATATAGTGGGTATATAATGGCTATATCAAGGGTATATTACCTAGGGGTCCTTATTAAGGGTCCCTCCTGTTCCCCTTGGATTAGGGTGGAGGCTCCAGGGTTTCCGACTTTAGGGTCCCTATGAGGGTTTACTATAAGGGTTCTAGAAGGGGTTGCAGAAGGCTTCTAGAAGGGTTCTACAGGCTTTAGGCTTCCGGGTTTCAGACTTTAGCGTCCCTATGAGGGTTTACTATAAGGGTTCTAGAAGGGGTTGCAGAAGGTTTCTAGAAGAGTTCTACAGGCTTTAGGCTTCAGGGTTTCAGACTTTAGGGTCCCTATGAGGGTTTACTATCAGGGTGCTAGAGGGGGTTCCAGAAGGTTTCTAGAAGGGTTCTACAGGCTTTAGGCTTCCGGGTTTCCGACTTTAGGGTCCCTATGAGGTTTACTATAAGGGTTCTAGAAAGGGTTGCAGAAGGTTCTAGAAGGGTTCTACAGGCTTTAGGCGTCAGGGTTTAGAGCTTAGGCTTCAGGGTTTAGGGCTTTTAGGGCTTGGGATTTTAGGGCTGATAGAGTTTTCGGGCTATAGAGCTTAGGGCTAAGGCTAAGGGTTTAGGCTTTAGACTTTAGGGCTTAAGATGTTCGGGCTCCTATAAGGATTACTATGGGGGTTACTATAAGGTATACTATAGGCCTAAACCCTAAGCTCTATACCCTGAAACCCCTAAACTCCGAAGCCTAAGGCATAAACCCCAAGCTCTATAGCCCTAAAAACCTAAAGCCCAAAATCCAAAAATCCCAAACCCTAAACCAAAAAACAATTGCAGCCGTGAGGCCTTTCGTACCTCTCATTCCGGTTCCCGCCCAGACTTCGTTGCCTCAGTCAGGGAATAGAGCCCGAAGTTGCCCCAAACAAACGGCTAGGGTTTGGTGGTTTGGGGTTTGGGGTTTAGGGTTTATGGTGTAGGGTTTGGGGTCTGGGGTTTGGGGTTTTGGGGCTTGGGTTTTAGGGTTTATAGGGTTTAGGGTGCTTTAAATTCCCAGTGGAAGGTCCAGGGGTAGGGTGATAAGTATGGTTAAATTGAATTATAACCCCACTTATAACTAACTACACATGAACTTGCAAGCAAGTACTACCCCGACAGGTGTGCTGAGTCAGCCTGACATTCATAATCCGAAGCCGGCAAATCCTCAAGTCCCCCCCCCTCCGCCTAAGCCCTAAACCCAAACAGAACTCTAAACCGTGAGCCCTCAACAACCCTTAACCTCACAAAAACAATCTCATACAACCCTTTGAGTAACCATTGTAGAACCTTAGGGTGCCTGGGGGCTGCAGCGAATCAAAATATGTCAACAGGAAAACAAACGAACAGTTGGCGCTCCACAGGATATTGGCGCTCCGCAACAAAACGAAGGCCCAAACCCAGAAGCAGAGATGCGGCGAGTAGCAGTCCCGAGGTGACAACCTCCGGAGGCCTAAAGAACAGAGTTAAGTCTTGAGGTGATTAAATCCGGACTTTTAAGTAACCAGGAAGAAACAGTATAAACTTGTATTTCATAAGGGTTCCTTTAAGAAAAAGTACTAAAGTATGATACTCCAAAGCCCAGTAAATGAACCATCAAGCCCGAACCCCCCAAGTGACATGAAGCTGAATCTAATAATATGAACCCTGAACATCCGTAAACTCCAAAAAAACAACTATATCACATCCTAAGCCCTGAAGACACAGAAGGAACAACCAACCATGAGTGCGGAGTGCTGGACAGATTCCATCTCTTGGTCTCTAAACTGCTGCTTGCGATTCTCCGAAAGGTTTTTACTCATCATCCTGGTTTACGTGTGGTTTAGGGTTCTTCATTTCCATCCCCTGCTGCTGAACCCGAAGGGCAGCTGAAACCCTGAAAAGCCGACCCGCGAGAATGGAAGGCATGCGTCCGGCTTCCGACACTCACTGCACTAGGTACATATTGTACGAGAGTACGAGTATACTAACCACAAAAGCACAAAAGGGAACCATCTAAAAACTAGATTAGCCATTACTGAGGCCCTATAATATTCAGCGCTAAAGTATTCTCTCACCAGCATGCTTGGAGAGGCACCACGCATTTCGCTCGCCAGAAGCCCAGTCGCTAACCCCGCTCCTGGACGGGATCAACTGGAGCAGTGAGCAGGCTAGAATGCAGCGCCAACTCACGCAATCAAAAGCCAATGTTGGAACTTGCTTACAACAATTGTCAAACTGAAATCCCTTCCACCCCGTTCCACCGCATGAAAAAATCCACACCCTCAAGCAAAAAAAGGCACACCCTGCATCCCAGATGTGGCAGGGATGCACCTGCAGGACACCCAGTGGACCAGCCATTTCAGCGTCGCCTTGGGCATTCAGGAGTTCCAGGGTTGCAACGGTTTAGGGTTTAGGGTTTAGGGTGCAGACTTTGGAGTTGACTGGGCGCTAGGGTGAGGAGTTAGACACCAAAGCCGCTAACGGTAGGGGCCTTGATTCTTGATAGAGTTAGAAAGTTTTTTGGGTGATATATATTATATCGAAAAAAGGAACCCCCAAAAACAGTATAGGTATAAGTATCTGGGCCCCTGCTATAGTAGACACAATCCTGCCCCCCTATATCCTAAGACCCTATTTCCTCCATCCAATATCCTACACCAACCACTCAGTTCGTGCTTCGGGCCATTTGGCCAACGGCCTCAGCGTATTTCCTCCACCCAACATCCTACACCAGCCACTCAGTTCGTGCTTCGGGACTTTTGGACCCTATAACGTCAAGCAACTCTCATATAGTGTAACGCCCCCTCTTAAGTTTCTTACAAGCTTTCTTACTATGTCCCCTGATCCTCACAGTAAGGTTTCCGGTGGCCAAATCTCCGCCGAGTCTGGGGCTGAGGGTACCCAAAAACTCCAATATTTATAATTTAAAGTATATTCCTTATTTAAGGGATATTGGAGTCTCAGGGCTTCTGACTCGTCGGGGTTTTGATTCTTGCCTGAGGGAACAGAAGCTCGGATTTCACGTTCTGGCTTTGCAGGGTCTTTATTTGGGGTCAAAAGGATCTTAAAGTACACTTACGGTCTTATGGTCGAAGGTTGAGAAGATGATGTGTGGTCTGGCAAGTCTCTGAAGCTGAACTAGTAGGCTTTACCAACAATCCCAAACACAAACAAAAAGGCCCACTGTTGCTGTTGGCACAGCTGGAGTTGTTGTTGTCATTCTTGTCGTTGTTCTTGTTGTGGCGGTGGGTGCTGCTGACGGAACATGGAGATGACGATTATGGTGGTGGTGATGATGATGGTTACTATGATTATGATGGTGCTGATGCTGGTGACCTCACGGGCTAAGGGCAAGGCGGCTGAGTCGCGTTTTCTGCCGTAACTTGGACCCAGCAGAGGCTGGTCGGCTAGCCGGTCTTGTTCAAAGCACACCGTTACTGATGCAGCGGGCCGGTCGACATCACAAATGCATCTCCACTTTGGAGTGCATCGACTTGACCATAGTAACCTTCAATGGTGCAAACAACATGGAAGCCACAGCGTCTGTACAGCCGTTGTGCACCCTGGTTTTGAGTGTGCACGTGAAGCTCCACGCTAGCTGCACCCGAGTTCCTGGCATCTGAAATGGCCTGCTTCATGAGACTTTCTGCCACCCCCCTCCCCCGGCATGTGGGAAGAACTGCCAAGCTAACGATGTAGGCTGCCTGGCCACGGCGCCTGCACCGACCGAGATCCAGAATGAGATATCCAGCGAAGGAGCCTTCCAGCAGGGCCACAAGGGATCGCGAGGATCTGAGACTCATCACTTCTTCGAAGGTCTCGAGGGAGTAAGGCTCCATGAAGCAAATGCTCTCCACAGAAAGCACCGCCTGGATGTCTGCAGCAGTCATAGTTCTCACCTGCAGTTTCCGAAAATTTGGGGTACCTTATTTTGGGGTCCTTATACTAAGGATCCTACTGTTTAAGGTGCTATATTAGGGTCCCCTAGTTTCGGAAGCCCCCACCTCGCAGCCATCCCTTGCGAGTCGCCCGGAGGTCCCGATCTGCACTGGGCCTCCGAGCTGTCGCTCGGCTTCGGGCTCTCGGAAGACCTTGGGCCCTTCCCGGTTCATGGTTGGGGTAGGATTAAAAATTCAAGCTTTTGTTCCTTATTGGGTTTACGTGCCCATAAAAATGTAAAATGTTACCCAACTATGACAAAGCTTCGAAGGGGAGGTCTTTCAACGCAGCTTTCGCACGGCGGAGCAGTGTAGGTAGGGCTTCTGCTGCGCCTTTCACAGAGAACCGCAGCAAGGGCGCCCCGGAACAGCAGAGCAAGCAGGCTGAGCAGGCCAAGGACCCGCAGCGTGTGCAAATTGCAACCGACCCGTCGTCTCCGGGCGCCGAACATCCTCGGACGCAAGGCCCGCAAGGCACGCGACTGGGAGCGTCGCGAAGAACGGGAGGGACCTCCTCCTCCGCTGTCTGCAAGCATTCGGCCAAGCGGAAAGCTCGTGAAAGCTGCGTGGTGTCGGTGATGCGGCGCAGCACCACAAAGGTGTGCGTGTCTCGATGTGACCACTCGGGAGATGCGCGTTGTGCAAGACAGCCGCTGCGCAAGCACCCGGAACAGAGGTCGAAGTCGGAGCACTCCACGCACTTGAAGCGCGTTCCCAGAAGAAGGGCCCCACAGCTATCACAAATGCCTATACTGAACTTAGAACCCTGGCAAAAATGTTAAATAATTTTAGCTGTTTCTTAGGGATTATAATAACCAAAAATGAAAAATTATTTCTAAGTGCGCCTAAGATGCAGGGGTGGAGTGCCTCACGCAACTGTTTCAGGGGAAGTCCGGCCGATGCCAGTCGCAGTCTCTCAGCTTGCTTCGGGATCTTCAGGTCGAGGTTCATCATCTTTCGCACAAGCTGGGAGTGTCCGAATTTATTCGGGGCACCTTATTTTGGGGTCCTTATATTAAGGATCCTACTATCCTACTATTTCAGGTACTATATTAGGGATCCTACATGTACGGGTACTATCTTAATGTCCTCTTTTTCGGAAACTCCCAAATCTCTCTGAGGTTGCAGGCCGAAGAGATGGTCTCCCGTGGCTGGACGGCTTAAGGCTTATAGTAAATCCCAAAAAGTTGGACACCGGATTAAGGCCAAACAGTGCTGGGATTACTCTTAAGGATTGAGGCTCGAACCTCTTGCCACCCCCGAAGCAGCCGAAACTGCGAGAAGCGGACCATATCATTTCTGGGGGCACTCCAATGGGTTCCTAATCTTACTACCCCAATCAGCCGCAGAATTGAAAGCTTAAACTTTCCGATTCCTACTAAACTACAAGAACCCCAAAAGTTTAAAGGTTGGGTATTGGGGATTATAAGTAATAATAAACGGGTGTCCATACGATATTCGACGAAGTGGGTTCCCATTCCATACGGCATCCGTTTCTATAGAGTTTTGAGGTCATGGCATGTGGTGATGGGAGGCCAAAAGCGGGGTTTAAGATTCTTGGGGTAGGGATTCTGGGAACCCTAATCCCTACTGAACCCCCATAGGCTAAAACCCCGTTTGGCCTCCTGGGGTAGTTGTCAATATTAGGGTCCCCTTTGGGGTCCTTATTGTAGTACGGCACCTACTATTTAGGGTACCCACAAAGGAACCATAGTTTTGACAACCACCCATATAAAATATAGAACTCTATTATAGATCGCTTATAGAACCCTGGACCCCAAAAAGGGATCATAATTTTGATAACCACCCATGAACTGTGGGAAGCAATCCCGTCGATGCCTTGCGGCTGCCCTGCTCGCTGTACATCTTCGGCGGGGATGCGAGGCCCAGCACCTCAGAAGTGTAGGGCCTTTAGAGTTGCCACGAGGGCTTAGGGGCTCAGGGGTTTAGGGATTAGGGTTTAGGGTTGGGGGCCTTTAGAGTTGAGGGCTTAGGGGCTTAGGGGTTTAGGGACTTTGCGGTTTAGGGGTTTGTTGCCATGAGGGCTTAGGGGTTTAGGGGATTTTTGGTTTAGGGATTTTGGGCTTAGGAACTAAAGCGGTGTGGTTTAGTGGGGGCTAGAAGGGGGTTTTAGGGGGTTGAGCTTTTTTGGGGGGGTTTGAGGCTGGAGGGTTTGATGTTCGGGGTGTCCTGCATGGTGTTCATCTATAACTCATGCGCTTTAGACTAGAAGACTGGGTATGTGATGATGTTGGGGATTCGTCTTAGAAGGTAAGGCTTCGGGGTTGCAGGAATAAACATCGAATGCCAATACCGCCGGGAAGGTCTATTCCTTCGTCTGTGCTCCGAATCCCGTAAGGAACCAACGTTCTCGGTTTAGGGTTCCCTAACCCCCTAAACCCCCCAAACCCTAAAACCATAAAACCCTAAACCCCAAACCGAAATTCGCTCAGAGTCCAGGGACTCTGACACCACCGCCCGCAACACGGACAACATCATGCACATCGCGCATATCAAGGAACCCACAGAACTTATCCTACCTTAACCTACCAAAACCTACTTTTTTGTAGGGTCCCTATAAATTCCATATTAGGGTTTATAATAAGAACCTACAAAAACGTAGGGTTTAGCAGTTTAAGGTAGAACCCATGCCGAGGACTGGACACACCACCAGCCCAACCAAGCAACAAATCGATGTGGAAGTGCAGGGAGTATGCATGTAAGCCTGACTACAAGTAACAGGTTTGGGGTTTAGGGGTTTAGGTAGGGTTTGACCGTTGCCCCAAACCGACCCTACAAAATAGTAGGTTACGACCCTTTAACTGTCGGGTACAACCCTCAAAGCAATAGCATTTTAGTTCCCCGAAGGATTTACAAGGATTTACTTAAAGGATCATGGGACTTAGTAACTAGGGTTATAATTAGGGTAACTATGCTTATAACCCAATTAAGGTACTTATAACCTTGCTTACTAAGTCCCATGATCCTCCAAGTAGGGGTTAAGGGTTTACAGTCCCTCAACAATAAACCTTCGCCTTAGGGTTTATGAACCCTAAATCCTAAACACAAACCCTAAGCCGTACACCCTAGGGCTAAGGGTTTATTGGTGCCTAGTTCATTGCTGGGATAGGGTTAAAAATGTACATTCTTATTCCTTATTGGGTTTCAGTACCCAAAAAATGTAAAATATGTAAAATGTTACCCAACCCGACACTTCCCTTGTAAGGAGCCCTATGGATCCCTTTGAAAGAACCCTAAAGATCCCTTAAAATGTTACGCAACTATGACAAAGAAAAGTTCTCCCGAGGCGGCCGGCCGCCCACGGCAATGCCAGGTTGGGCTGCGAGAGGCGCAGGGCATCCTTCAGGAAGGTTTGGGTCTATACTATAAGGGGTTAGGGATTTTAAGGGTTGTATTTAGGGTTTTAGGGTTTAGGGGTTTAGGGTTTGCCTTACAGACCAAATGACCCTTAAAAGTAGGGCCCTATAACCCTTATACTATGAATCCCTATATGGTCTTTGAGCCATAAATCCTTTTAGGGTTCATTTCGTCCTTAAGGTGGGTCTATACTATAAGGGATTAGGGATTTTAAGGGTTATATAATGGGCTGCTATAGTAAGAGTTCTATACGGGTTGCTATGAATTAAGGTTCAATGAGAGGTTTAGGGTTTAGGGTCTAGCAGAATTAAACTTTCGGGTTTAGGGTGTTAGACTTCAGGGCTCTGGACTTCAGAATTTAGGGTTTACGGATTTTTAGACCTTGGGGCCTTGGGGGTTTAGGGTTTAGGGGTTTAGGGTTTAGGGTTTAGGGTTTAGGGTTTAGGGGTTTAGGGGTTTTAGACTTGGGTCTAGGTGTTCTCGACGCTCAAGGTGCATTGCTGTAGGGTCGGGCTAAGGGTTTGTCGACGACTGGAAGGTGCCACAAAATCCGTTGAGGGTTCCTTTAAGGGTTCCTTGAAGGGTTCTATAAGGGTTCCTTTCAGGGATCTTTTAAGGGTTCCTTTAAGTGTCCTTTACTTCATAGCGTCCCTTATTGGCTTCCAATGCTTGCAATCCTAACCTTGCTTAGCTAAAGCATCAAGACTCACTCCCACGTCCCATCTCGAAACCATGAACTTGTTTATACCCTAGACTCCAAACCCCAAGCTGCACACCCTGAACTCTGAACCCTAAATCCTGCACTCGAATCCCTAAACCCGCCTCAAGTCTGAACCCTAAACCCGGCCATAAAACGTGTCAGAAGCCCCGGGGAGACTGGCAAGCTGTCCTCATCCAGGCCCCGCACCTCAGGAGCTTTGCACTGAGAGGCCCCGACCGCTTGAGAGCAGGACTCCGACTGTTTAGGGTTTCGGGTTTTCAGAATTTTCAGTTTGGAGTTTAGGGTTATATAAGCGTGCAGGGGTTCGGGTTTTCAGAAATTTCAGTTTGGAGTTTAGGGTTAAGCGTGTAGGGGTTCGGGTTTTCAGAACTTTCAGTTTTGAGTTTAGGGTTAAGGGTTTAGGGGTTCGGGTTTTCAGTTTTATGGTCTCTCGGGTTCCCAGTTTGGGGCTTAGGGTCTATGGCTTTATGCGGATTGATATGGAAAGGGCAGTGACAATTGAAAGCAAATCGGGGGTCATGAAGAGATGTTAAGTCTGTTAAGTAAGTTACACTGTTAAGTAGATGGTTCACTACGCAGTGAGGTTCTGATTCTGATCGTGTGCATGAACAATGTGATCCCTGACCCGAATAATCCAAAACTCAAAATCCCGAAACGAACAATGCAACGGCGAGACCTCTGCTCAAGACATCGGCTTGAGAGATTGAGAGCATGAAAATAGGGGCCTTACTAATTAGAGTAGGATTCCCTTAAAGGGGTCTATATAAGGGCTACTGTAAGGGCTATTGTCTGGATTTAGTATCGAGGCCTTAATAACTAGAATAAGGATTTGGGGCCCATTATACTATAAACATATTAAGGAACCCCCCCATAATAGTGTAGGTAATATTAATAAGGCCCCTATATAATACTACTGCGAACCGCTGCAGGTCTATCCTGCACGACAAGCGCAGAAATGTGCACAAAGCACCCTACTGGCCCACGCCAGGGAACCGAGCACAACTGAAACCTACATCCCAAATCCGCGACCCCAATCTCAAGAGGCATACCTTCACAAAGAACCTTTCAATTAGGGCTTGTATGCCAAACCAAACCCAAAAACGAGGGACGAAGCCCTGAACCCAACCGCTACACCACATGAACTTGTCTCCCTGTGTGTAGACGCCCCGGACGCAACCCGGAACCTCCTACCACCGGGGATCGCGCAGAAGCACTCTGTGTCTGGTTCTGTCGACCTCGGATTGTTCTTCGATGTGAGCTTTACTTGTTGCTTCGTTTGGGGTCCTGGGCTGTTAAGTAACCAGGAAGAAAACAGTATACACTTCCATTTCACAATGGTTCCTTTAAGAAAAAAGTATTGAAGTATGGTATTTCAAAGCCCAGTACCTTAAACCCTAAACCCTATAGATCCCTGGAAGGAACCCTATAGATCCCTTTAAGGAGCCCTTTAAGAACCCTTGCTAAGTCCCATAATTGCTACCCCGAAGCCCAGGCTTTGGGGTCTTGACGGTAAAGCTGAAGACGGGTTGTCAAAGGCTTCAGCGCTGGAGTTTGGGGATTGGGAGGTTCAGAGAACTGGGAGCCCTAATATAATACCCCGAATAGTAGTAATCCTTATTAAAAGAACCCCAAAATTTTTCGGAAACTCCCAAACCCTAAACCCTTTATAGATCCCTTTAAGGAACCCCTATAAGATCCCTTTAAAGGAGGCACCCCCTAATTTTCGGAAACTTCTATATCAGGCCTAAGACTTCCCCTGAGGGAGTTGTCGGCCTCAGTGTTCTCGGGTTTGGAGACTGTCGTCAGATTTTCTGGTTTTCCCAAAGGCTCCATGTACCCAGATAGTAGGTGCTTAGGCCTTAAGTACATGTACAGGGACCCCTTTAAGGCCTAAGCACCTACTATACGGGTACATGGAGCCTTTGGGTTTGGGGAGGGTTTTCACCTTCGAGGTCGTACCGTCATTGCGGTTATAGGGTTTAGGGTTTAGGGTTTCAATAACCAGGACTCTAAGCGGTTGCAGGGTGTAGCTAGAAACCTTTTCGGCTCGCATGCCTGATACTATTTCGGGTACTATGTTAGGGTCCCCTATTTTCGGAAGCTCCCACATGGGAACAAGGAGTGTCTGATGAAAACAGGCCACCATCGCAGCGATGCCCCAGCTGGTTACCAAAGGCAGGATACTTTAGAAGGGGCCCCCACCCTGTAATAGTGGCATAATAGGAATATAATAGGGCCCTGATATAATCCTTATAGTCACTACTACAGGGTGGGGGCAGCTTCTAAAGGATACCCGGCACCAAGAGCTCATCAACCCTGAATAAACCCTTGCTAACCGGCAACCCTTACGTTAAACCTCAGACCCTACGAAGCCCTTCGAATCTTTCTATCCAACTGCTAAACCAGCAGAAACTAGCCCTCCAGAAACAGATACACGATAAAACAAGCATTAAGTAGTCTTAGGGGCTGAGTAGCCTAGCCCAAACAAGGTTAACCTCCTCAAATTCTGTCAGGCGTATATAAACCCCAAAAGGTTCAAGGGTGCGTACTCAGGTACCAAGTCTTGTAGTTACAGTATACTATACCCCCATATCCGCTACTAGCAGTTCAGGTCCCTACTTGGAGGATCATGGGACTTAGGAAGTCAGGTTATAAGTACCTTAATTGGGGCTATAAGTATAGTTACGCTTATTACAGCCTTAGTTACTAAGTCCAATGATCCTTTAAGTATACTGGTGGGCCCTCAGCCTTCAATCCCTTGAAACCTTGCACTGCAGGTCCATTTTTGGGTCCCTATTGTAATACGGCACCTAAAATTTTGGGAACCCTAAACCCTAAACCCCTAAACCCTAAACCATATCAAGGTCCCTAGTGTACCAGGTGAATTGTTTTTACAAAAAAACATTGTTTTTATAAAAACAAAAACAATTGTTTTTATAAAAACAATTCCTAAACCATCTCAAGGTCCCTAGTTTACCAGGTCAGGTAGCTTGGACTTTCGCTCTGTCCGCTGTGGGAAACGTAGCCGTCGTCCCAGGCGGCCTGCTGCTACAAAGGGGGCCTCATGGGTACTTGGAGTTCCTTTAAGGGTACTATAGGGCTCCTTAAAGGGATCCTTAAAGGGATCTATAAGAGGTCTAGAATGGAGGATCATGGGACTCAGTAAGGTTATAAGTACCTTGCCTGGGGTTAGAAGTATAGTTACCCTAAGTATAACCCTAGTTACTAAGTCCCATGATCCTTTAAGCAGTTGTAAGTGGGGTGATAAGGGTTTAGGGTTCCAGTAAGTTTAGGGATTAGGGTTTAGGGTAGTTATAAGTAGGGCAGCCTAGTTGTAACCCGTGTTGGGGGAGAGTTGTAGCCCTGCTTGCAACTGCCCATGAACCTCCAAGTACGGCATCTTTTCAGGCTTCCCACCGGGTTTCGCAAGGTTGCGAGGCATATCAAGGAGTGTGTTGTTTTCGCCTCATGGGGTCTCGGGATATGTCACAGCAATTATGTATGGGAATCTTTTGTAGAAGCGAACGGAGAGCAATAGGAAGTCTGCAAAATCAATCACGTGGCTCCTTGTGGGTTTTCCGCGCCTTGCCACCGCCCTTCTTGCCTCCCTTGCTGCCCTTTTGCATCGCATAGCCTGACGATGTCCTGGCGGAAAGACTCTTTCAGGCTCTACATGGGCACTTGTCAAAGAGAGATCCATGCAACGTTTTTCGATGGGGATCTGGCAAGCCAGGCATCCGAAACTCCAATAGAAAGTGCTGAAGCAAAACAAGTCCTAGCTGAGAGGGGATCCACGGCAGGATGCCCTACATGCTATCCTTCTTACTATCAATCAAATTCGGTCCTCGCCCTAAAAACCTCAAACCAAGAAACACAGACTATGACACCTAGAGCTGCCAAAGGCCCTCGAAACTGACCAACTCCCGACTGGGAGCCATGCAACTTCTGGCAAATTCACTCTCTGGTTTGGGTGGTAGGGCTGTGAGTAGTAGTCCCTCAGAGAGACCAAGACCCCTTAATGAAAGAGTATGCCAACGTAGCATATACAGGGGGCATAATATTACGATATAAGGTATATTCCTTAATTGAGGGGTATGGGGCTGTCTGGGCCTATCTCATGGCCTCTGAGCTCAGGCTGCAAGGGCTCCCTTACCGAAAACCACAGTTGACTTCCATATACCTTCAGCATTTCGGGTGCAGGGTTTGCGCATCAGGATTTACCCGATCATAGACCAATACCCCTTAATTAAGGAATACCTATAAAGTAGCATATACAGGGGGCATAAGATTGTGCTTTAAGGTGTATTCCTTAATTGAGGGGAGCCTGCTTGAATCCGAAGTACCAAACTCGAAGCTTTTGACGCGAAGTACGCATTCCGGAGTAAAGCTAGAGGTGCGGATTGAAGAGTTGTGCGGCACAAGGGCTCAGGTGTCTGACGCCATCATGAGAACTTTAACTTTCTGGTGAAGTCCCAGAGAGCCCAATATCCCTTAATTAGGCAATATACCTGAAATTATAGGGGGCTTCATATTATGGTTTAAGCCATATTCCTTAACTAAGGGGTATTGGGCTCTCTGGGGTTGTGATGAATCAGAGGGCGGGTTCTTGACATAGTCCTAGGAACCTCGATCTGATCCACAGCGACTGTCTTCGGAAGACGAAAAGGATCATGGGACTTAGTAACTAGGGTTCCTTAAAGGGCTCCTTTAAAGGGGATCTATAGGGTTCTATTCTAAGAGGGGTTTATAGGGTCTACTTAAAGGATCGTGGGACTTGGTAACTAGGGTCATAATTAGGGTAACGCTGCTTATAACCACAATGAAGGTACTTATAACCCTACTTACTAAGTCCCATGATCCTCCAAGTATGTACTCATCCTTCCATCCGTCCACCTAACCACCCATGCACCTATCGATGTATATATCTAACCTATCTATCTGCCTATCTATCCGCGTATCTACCTATCTACATATCGGCCGATCGATCGGTTCTTCTGTTTGTCTGGGTTTCCGAAAATGGGGGACCCTAATATAGTACCTTCAATAGTAAAATCCTTATTATAAGGACCCCAAAATTAGGGACCCCTAATTTTTGGAAACTGCCATTTATCTAATTTTTCTATCTGTTTACTCTCTAACGCCTGAAGCACTCCTTCAATGCTCCACGGGCAGCAGTAGGACAGCGGATGGCGTCAAGGCTTGCGCTGTAAGCGACTTGACACTAAAATTCAGAAGAATATGATCAGATTTGGCGTCCACGGTTTAAGGTTCGGATCTAGGTTTCAGGAGTGGGGCTTAGGGTTCAGGGCGGGTCAAGGTCTAACGGCTGTGGGTTCAGTTTTTGGGTGTTGGGTTTAGGATTTCGGGTTTTGGGCTCAGGGCAAAAGCGACATCTTATGTTGAGGCTGCTCATGAGCTGCGGGTTCCTTTCCCTTTGAGAGTTTAGGGTTCCTGCGGTGGTTACTGTCTACAAGGGTTTAGGTTTTTCTCTTTGATGAAAAGTGGGCTCAAGATACGTATGGATGATCGGTGCTACCTGGACCCCGAAAGTCTGTAGAATAATAGCCTTTTATAGGTTTTGGGCTATTATGTTACCTACCTTTGGGGGTTGAGGTAAAGATGGTTGAGGGGCTTTGGGCCTTTTGGTGTCTGCTTCGCCAGGGTTGCCCCGCAGCAGAAAAGCCAAAGCTGCGGCGGACGGCGCACTACAAAGTATCCAAGACAAGCTGGAAGATCTTCCTCAGAAATCCGATGAGGCCGGGGGTTGATATCAAACTCGGCCACTTGCCCTGAACCCCGAATTCTTGGAACGAAGGGGGGGACGGGGGCTTGAAGCGCTCCCCTGAAGCCAGAAACCTCTGAAACCGTCCACCAAGAAGATCTGGGTTTAGCCTTCGCAATGCCTCAACTTTAGGGGGTTATATAGGGCCGTACATGGGGGGCTACCCTAACAAGCCTAAAAACCCCAAACTCGCAACCCCGAACTTTGAACCCTAAACCGTTTCGGCAACTACTTCAACACCTGCCGCTAGGCGAAGCCTTGTCCCCGGAGCTGGGTTGCAAGTTACTTCGTACTTGTTCAGTATCCGCGGGGAACTAAAAGCTACTTGGAGGATCATGGGACTTAGTGAGCAAGGTTATAAGTACCTTAGTTGGGGTTATAAGTATAGTTACCCTAAGTAAAGGGCTAGTTACTAAATCCCATGATCCTTTAAGTAGACCCATAAATCACCTCTTAAAATAGAACCCCCTTTAAAGGAGCCCTTTAAGGAACCCTAGTTGCTAAGTCCCATGATCCTTTAAGTAACCTCTCGTCGTCCCCGAAGGGAATGCCAAATGAAGCCAGAACTCTGAGACGATTCAACCCCCAGCTGTGGCTACTTAAAGGATCATGGGACTTAGTCACCTAGGGTTATACTTTAAAGGGCTCCTTTAAAGGGGATCTATAGGGGTTCTATTTTAAGAGGGGATTTATGGGTCTACTGAAAGGATCATGGGACTTAGTAACTAGGGTTATAGTTAGGGTAACTAGACTTATAACCCCAATTCAGGTACTTATAACCTTACTTACTAAGTTCCATGATCCTCCAAGTATTGACCCCTGAAATCCTCAATTTATCAACCACTGACAGGCATTCTCTCGACAGAAACCCGAACAAAAGCCCTCCACGCTTGTGGCTAAGGCAACTGAGCTTCAAGGTTGGTGTCTATATAGTACACGATGTAGCATACATACTCGCATAGACAGACAGAGACAGAGAGAGCGAGAGAGAGAGAGAGAGAGAGAGAGAGAGCGAGCGAAAGAGCTTGAACTTTTGCAGGTAGCACCAAGAGTATTCGATGAATGTGTGGTTGAATTCTGAATTTGGCGTATGCTGATAGGGCAAAGGGTGTCACGGTGATGAAGACAGCAAACGCTGCGTGTCTGAAGTCGAACACAAGGTCGTTGCAATGATCAAAAAATGGGTAGTTGTCAAAATTAGGGTCCCTTTTTGGGTACCCTAAATATTAGGTGCCGTATTATACTAGGGCCCCCAAAGGGGACCATAATTTTGACAACCACTCAAATGGCAACAGGGATGACCCTCCACCCTCAATCCTGAACCGATTAGCTGCCCGGTTACACCCGACTAGGGCCCCCAAAAAGCACATAAGCAAAACTTAGGGTAGGGATATCCCATATTAATCCGCTTATAATGAAGCCCAATAAGGTAGGGATATCCCTATAAAATGCTTATGCTTATGTGCCTCTTGGGTCCCTGACCTAACCGTCCTAACCTCTCGTACAGTCGCAGCGGCTGCTGCTTATGCCCTGCACGGCTTCCACAAACGGAGCAGAAGGCATGACAACCTCGGGCTTGAAAAGAAGTTGATGGCTAGAAGAAGGATGTGGGGTAACTTGTAGTATGAGGTTTAATTAAATACAATGATGAGAGTTCAGAGCTAACTAAATGTAGCTGTTACTGCAGATATTTCTTTCGAACCTTCGGATTGGCTGCTAATCAGGCAGCAGGGAGTTGGCACTAAGATGGGGATGAACGGATGCAAGACGCCTTGGCAGTAGGGATCCAGGGTCTTGGCCAGATGCCGAATCACTCGCCAAAAGATCTTGCGCCTAGCTGCATGGTGAAGACGCTTTGTTCAATCACCCCAAACCCCAAGCCCCTCAACCCCAAACCGCCTGAAGCCCCAAACCTTAATCGTACAGAGGTGGTAGGACAGGCGTAGACCTGGCAACTCAGCAGCAAAACCCAAGCCTTCTAGAACTGCAACCATCGGTCATCAAAGACCCCACGCTTTCGAATGCCTCAACCCCGCACCCGACATCCTGGAGCCCAATCCCAGCTTCCAATTCGACAGCAGCTGCCTTCATCCAACAAAAGACCAGCCGCAAGCAAAAAACGAGCCATGCTGGCGCCGCGCAACTCACGGCCCTAAAGCTCTACATCAGGCCTCTGGCGTTCTGCACAGGAACCCTAAGCGAATCTACACGTCTCGAGACAGGTCGGAGCCCGGAACTACAAACCCGAAATAATTCCCTAATGCGCCACCACCCTGGATCCTCAACGCAGCCCAAAGCAAGGGTATGTGCCCTGGGGACTGCACCTTGCCGACCGCACTGCGGCCTGAAATGTGCGGTGGCTGCTCTTGGAAAGCGTACTTGGAGGTTCATGGGCAGTCAAGTGGGGGTATAACCAGGGTATCCATTGTTATAACCCATATTAGGGAACTTAGAATCCCACTTAAAAACTACCCTAAAACCCTAATCCCTATAGAACCCGATCGAACCCTCAAAGGAGCCCTAAACCGCTATGGCCCCACTTATAACTACCCATGAACCTTCAATCCATGTAGAATTTGATAGCCTGACAAAGTTGCCTTGAGTCCTTTTCGGGCTTCTTTGTATGGCTCCTGACATTTTGGCATTATTGCAATATAGGGGCCTTTATTGTTGGACAAAGGTTTTGGGGCCATTGTACTATAGTTATTATAGGAAACCCCCACAATGGTATTGGCAATTGTTTAAGCCCCCTATATTGCAAGGGCTGCTAGGATTCTTTCCTACATTGGGGTGGTAGCTTTGATACAAGAGTCTAGATATGTATCTAAGTATCAGATTGCGATT